GGGGCATCTCTCTCTCTCTCTCTCTCTCTCTCTCTCTCTCTCTCTCTCTCTCTCTCTCTCTCTCTCTCATGCTCCTTCCACATCTGAATGTACTCGACACTAAGAGGGCGAGAGTTATATAAGTACAAGTGGGTATAGAACTGTATTGCCCTTGAACACCGGGTAACAAATGTGGTTTGAGTTGTGGTTTTGATTGATATTACTACAGTAACAGACCAAATATTATGGTCATTTTCTGGGGTCCATTGAGGCGTCATGCGAGTAAGTATGGGGGAAATGTTTTTGATGTTGTGATGGAGAAATATAAAGGTCTAGGAGTTCACAGACACTTCGGAACAGTTATTTGCGTGCTGTAGTAGGGTGGGGGGGGTGTTGGGGTGAAAGTATGTATTCGTGAATGCGGGAATGAGTACACACACGTGTGTGAATCTATATAAATACAGTGCACCCTAGTAGTCGCGCAAAAGCCTGGGGGCGGGGGGGTAATAAAAAAATCAGCTTTATTGATATTAGTATTTTTAGTCTATACTAAATGCCCGAACTAAGCTTCCCCATCAACAAAGAAATAAGCATCTACTCATCTACTATCTATAAAAGCTATTTGAGTGTTTTCGTAGAGAACTTTCAGCACTCCGCAGTTATTTCATCTTTCACTAAATTTGGCCAGAAAGACTGTGCGTGACACTCTATCAAGGTTTTCAGGTATACACCCCCCACACGCACGCACGCACACAAACACACACATACACTCACACACACACACACACACACACACACACACACACACACATACACATACACACATGAACATTGTACAAATTCGTACATGGAACTCCCCTCAAGTTTGAGAAATGTTTTGTTTTGGTAAGTGTTTTAAAGTGTTCGCAACTGCATAAGGTCGTTTGAGCGTGCGGGACACTTTAAACATTTTCAGTTTGGTATGATTCAATTTGGAATTTTGCCCTGGTGGTACCGAAGCCTACTCTTATTGATTTTGGACCACCAAGGGGTCTTGAACGTGCACAACCTGTACACGGGACCTTCGAGATTCTTCGCCCCTATCCAAGAAGGCTAGGTGTTAGATCTTACCTGCCCTAAGATCAGGGGCGTGGCTGAAAGACAGGCGTAAGGAGCCAACGAGTAACAGTAGAAAGGTTACAAAAAGAGTCAGGGAGCCCAGAAGAGGGGCCAAAGAGGGGGGGGGGGCAGAAAGTGGAGACGAAAGCAGACGACAGAACATGGTTAGAGAGAAGGAGAATGGGTGAAAGGAGAACATTTTAGAGAAGAACATTTCCCGTCGCTGTCAGGTTTCGAACCCGGGCCCTTTGAATGGGAGGCGAACACCGTAACCTCCAGACCACGACAGACCCCTGGTCTGAGAAAACAAAACATTATAAGGAGAAATACCGGGTTGCAAAAAACCTCATTATTGTTTTCTGTGTACCGGTTTAACCTATTTATATAAGAAACGGGAAAAATGAAAATTTAATCAAACCAGTAGAAGATAATAAGTGACGAAACTTGCACAATAGATTCTATGTATTTCAAGACAATAAATTTTGGATTGGCTGATATTTCTTATTTATTTCTATATGTCAGAGTTTTAGAATTTCCACCCTCATATTTTATTGAAGTGCTCTTCACACAATAACAACTTCCTTTTAAAGCCATATATTTAAAAGATGTTTTGTCTTTCAATTAACTAAATGTGTTCAACTTTCATAGAGGGAATATGGAATGAGCAAAAACGGAAATTCGCAAGAACGATTTTTTGCCAGAATGACTGGTTTTTGCGTTTTACGAGCAGTGCACGCACGCATTGTGCATGAAAGCGAAAACTTTTATTTTTGGCCGTCTTTCACAATAGAAAGGTGCTATTTTACTGAGAGAATGTTCTGTTCCAAAGAAGAAAAAAAACTTGCAAACAAACGGCAAAACATGGGGCATATTCTAGACAATCCAGATTCGCAAGGGAAATGTACTCAAGGCTCCTAAATTTCGCGTGCAAGACGCGAGTTTTCCCCAACACCTTGTCGCGATTACTGTTTAGATAATGTAAGAATTTTTTTCCCGGTAATTGGATCAGTGGTTTTAACACTGCGGTCGACTTCTTTTTTTTCTTCAATAATATGTTTTATCTATCTAAAACCCCAAAAAAGCAAAAAATGGCAGGAAGCAACAAGAATGCTTGGAAATATGCAAATTCGTTCCGTGTTTCTGATTAGTGTTCGACGAATCTAAATGTGCTGCAACGTTGCCTTTTGGCCTGCTACGTGTTGGACACTAATGTCCCAGGCGTCTTTAAAGAGTAAACATAAGATGGCCTCTCTGAATAACGTTACACTCGTGCCAATGTCAACATACAGCATGTTGGACTCACGATAGTCATAGGTCTATATTGTTTATCATTGGCTTTGCAAGAATATTCCCTCACGTTCAATGATGCTATTTCAACATGAACAAATAGTTCATATATTTCCATAAAACAGAGAGAAAGATAAATGTATTATAATTTT